ATGGGTTTGTCCCTATTTTACCCAGCACTGGGTTGTATTTAACCCAGCATTTGTGTAGGAATTCACAAGGAAAAAATGCTGTAACATAGGCTAAATTAGCTAATGATTCCCCTATCATCCTCTACATGCTAACCTTATATCTAAATATGTTACTACTAACATTAAACGCACATGTTTGTGTTGACTGACACATAAATATCAATAGCTTCCACGTCGGCTCTGCCTGCTGCATTTGCTCCTCTATCTACTGTCGTAACTCCCTGCAGAGAGCCGCTGGGCTTTCTCAACAGAGAGCGTCTGATTACAATAATATGATAATGATCATTTTACTGCAGGCTCTGATTATAATTACAGAGGGATCTGTCTGGCCTCGGTTGTATCATCACTGTTTGCTGTTGTTTTTTCCTTCATATTTTGTAATTAGTCTCAGTGTTTTTGTGTGTGAAACAGGGTGTTTAATATGCGTGCAGGATATGAGCAGTGAGTATATTCTGGGAATATGTTTTTTTTCAGTGCACAAATAAATACCTATTTAGGTAGACTGTGCCAAGACTGAGCTTAAAGAAGACATGCATGACTACATCATGCCATCCTGCTGGATACGGGCACAATATTCCTGCAGATAATAACGAGAGAGAGAGAGAGAGAGAGAGAAAATACTGCTAAATATAAATGATTATTAAAGCAAATGTTGAGTGCTTATTTTAAGACTGTACTTTTTATATTTTATGTTATTACTATGTGAGATACACATACAGTAAATGGATGACAGTAGATGTCATTACACTAATTGTTCAGTAGATGGCGGACTAAACACACGCTTTTAAATCAGAAATTAAAGCTCAGTTCATTTGTAACACTTGTTAAAGTTGTAAGTACACCATATAGTAATTATTATCATCCATATAATGGATTTAAGGACAAATACGGACAATTCACTGAACACGAATGAAAGGGCAAGAGGTGTTTAAGAGGCGTTCATATTTCAGGTAAGTTATAATAAGTAGCGTATGTAAAAAGAAGTGCCCTTTTCAAACTAAAATCTTTACGCATTTGACATTACAATGAGCTGCATTTTGTCCAACCTCATCTGCGTTGGCCGCAAGCGCCGCGACAAACCACAATATTAAGCGAAACTCTCTCACAGGAATGGAATGGTCTGATAGATATGGTCTGATAGAATGAGACTTGTGTAAACTGAAACAAAATTACGAAAAGGGCGGGGCTTGATAGCCGGGAATTTGTGTCAGGTAAAATGCATCAAACAATAATTCTTATATTTAACGCTTGAGTTCGTATTTTCAATTCTCATACATTATTAAAATGTCTTAGTATCATTATTCAGTAGTAAATAATTAATGCCCAGACCTTATCAATGTCCGCTTCTGAGGCGCCACAAAAGTAGACAGTGTTGTCACGTGGTACGTGGTACTTTTCACCGCGGTGTTTAGGATGGGTTAATCGCGGTCCTTTGCGATGTCATTTCTTTCCATGTAATTATTAGAGATTGCTAGTTCGGATTTTTTAAATTTGTATTTCAGGTGCCAGTGCTGGGAATGAATACATTTGAACGATTAAACGTTCTGGTGTACAAATGCGTCTATTAAATCAAAACATATTCTAAGATTTGAATGAAGTTAAACGGAGGACTGAGCTTTCTGAGCCCCGAAGCGCCCCCTGCGGAAAAAAAAAACGGTTTTATTGCACACAGAAAACATTGATGGAAAGCAGCTCAAAGATGGAACTTTGTTTACTCAAGCAGGTAAATAGAGAGGAACCACACAGTCAAGCCTCATCAATCAGACCACACATAGAGCTGTTATGCCAGGAGCAGCCCAGCACACACATGCACATACCAGTACAGTCTGACACTCATCCATTCTTTTAGGAAATATTTGAAGATATAATGAATGATATATGTGTTGCCTTTTATTTATTTAATAACATTATTTGAATGACAGTGGAGAAAGAACCTCTTTTGAAAATGCTGCAGTTATGACATCTAGCAGGGGTTTACAGCTAGGGTTAAGCTCACTAGCCAAACTTTGACCACTATCTAGTATTGTAACAAGGGTGACCAGTGTGGCAGTGCATCCAAAACTAAGTCATAATTGGAAAAAGAAAGCAAAATAAATAAAACACAGGTCTGTTCAGTTATCCTTATGGGTTTAAGAGTTTTCCTAGTATAAAAACATCAGCGATACAGGGGGCATCACAGAAACCCTCTGGGGTCCAAGTCTGAAACATTTAGAAAGCCTTGCACAATAAAACAACCCTCTTCCCATACTGCAGGCATGTCCCTACACACACTTATATTCATGCATCCATACACACACACATTTACATACACACTCATAAAGTGATGACTCCTGACAGCTCCACTTTGTGTGATGGGGAATCTGTGGTACTCACATCTGAACCAGGCACATCTCTTTTTACAATCCTCTCCACCAAGTGGCCATTTCAGCAGAAACAAAAAGTGCCACACACCAATAAATCTGCAATGAAATTTTAAACATTTGTCTAAGTTTCTTGTCCTAGAGCCCCAGGCATTTTTAGAGCTGCCAGTCAACTGAATATAGGTTTAACAACACTAAAGACCTCAGAAAAATATATTTAAATGAGATTTTTAAATTCCATATTGTGAACAATTACACAACAAAGTACATAAAAGCCATTAAAGGCTCAGATGTACAGAGAAAGTTTTTTTGATTCACATGCGCAGATGGCATACTCTCAAAGAGCTGGCGCACATTTAATAATAGTTCGCTGTCTTAATGGTACAACATAGCAGTGGTTCTTCAAAACTGGTTTTGCGTTTGGACCAAAGTGGTGACTAAACGCAATATAAAAATGACTGATTCTACAAAAGTAAAGAAAATAGTCATTCAAATTATATTCAACTTAGCAAAATTATTAATATAACATAATATTGTTCTCCCGTTTGAAAATTAACCCTATTTTTATTCTACAATGTTAGTTAGTTGCATTTTATTATTATTGCATTGAAATGATCTATAGCTAACATTGTTTTTTTCCCCTGCCGCCCACAACTTGTTTTGGGTCGCAAACCACCAGTTGAGAACTACTGCTATAATAAAGTATACCGCCCTTTTTTATTTGATGTATTTCTTCTAATATTTAAGTAATGTGATAGTAGTTTGACTTTCCCCTCACTGGTGGATAAATATTGACTCCGGGAGGGAGTCATCTCAAGCATCTGAAGACGTATTGATGTACTCTGAAGAGACTCAATGATACAAGTCTCAGGGATTCCTGAATGATCCTTTGAGAATTTATTTGAGCCCAATAAGAGGAGCTGTTTTTACCTCCGTCTTATTTGAAGTGAAGAAAACGCGTAGATTTAAAGTGATAAACAATATGCAGTGTTGGAATTGAGCAACAGTAGTTTCAGCAAAGAACATGATGCAATACCTGTAAAACACAGTTGGGCAAACACATTTCACAATTTGAGTTTCCATTGCAAAGCATTTTCTTCTGTTAAAGGGGTCATATGATGCTGCTAAAAAGAACATTATTTTGTGTATTTGGTGTAATGAAATGTGTTTATGCGGTTTAAAGTAAAAAAAAACATTATTTTCCACATACTGTACATTATTTTTTCTACTCTATGCACCGCCTTTCTGAAACGCGTCGATTTTTACAACCCAGATAGCACATGTACGTCTGCAAGATGTCTGTTAAAGATCTCTTTATCTGGAAAGCATCTGCTGTGGACAAACATCTAACACGTCTTTCAGATGTCAGTTTTACATACATTCTAAATCATAAACATCTAATAGACATCTATTTGACATCTAAAATCAAACGTCCTATAGACGTATTGCAGATGAGCAAACACTCTAAAAAAAAAAAACGTCTGCAGATGTAAATGCAGACATCAAATAGACGTCTC